AAATATCACTGCTAGTGCCTCACTTGATGTACAGTGTAAGTTGACGTAAAACGTTTGGCAATTTTGGATGAAGATTAAACATGTCAGTGATGCAAACCATACTTCGTGCTAAAAGTTGTTTTCTTTTTATTTAGTTGAACCAAGTTTAATCACAACACCAGATGATCAGATAGTTATCGAGGGAACCAAAGTAACATTCCTCTGCAATGCCTCCGGGAACCCATCTCCAAAGATAACTTGGTCAAAAGATGGTAAGACTCTGACTGAAGGAGAAACTCTGAGCTTTGAAGCGAACAGGAATCAATCTGGAGAGTACTGGTGTTCAGCAGAGAATGGATTAAGTGTGACTGTCAATGCCAGTGCCCATCTTGATGTTCAGTGTAAGTATAGCTTGATGCAGCGCTACTATAGTGAAATAAATTAAACAAATAACAGTGAAGTAAACGAACAATAATTCTGTCGAAAATCAACGGAGTCGAACAGTGCTAACGAGCAAAGCAAGCAAAGGTGATGAGTAGTGTAGATGGTCTTCATCCCTTGTGTTCGATAATCAGATTGGTTAGTTCCAGTGACCCAAGAAACAGTAATCACAGCGAAAGAACTGGTCAGCAAGGAACTCTTAAACCAGTGTGTACCGGCGAATTGCGTAATGTGACCCCACAGTTGACCGACATTTCATCTGGTAGAGAGACTGTTAAGCTTCGTGCTGCGGAGACCTGGATAAGCTTTATCGAGGTCGATCACTTGGCCCATAGGCGAAACCATTCAGCTGTTACTTAAATGTAAAAAAACTTAAAAGAATGTAACTTGACTCCAACGTCATTTCTAGAATCCCCATCACCTTTATAAAGTCAATCCAGGTAGAGTAATTTAGTGTTATCAACTGAGTTGAAAACGTAAATTGGCCACCGTAAATACTTTAAAGGCTGAAGTTTCGAGCGTTAGCCCTTCGTCAGAGCGATGGACGAAGAAGCTTTGACAAAGAGCTAACGCTCGAAACGACAGCCTTTAAAGTCTTTACGGTGGCTAATTTACGTTTTCAACTCAGCTGATAACACTAAATTACCCTGTTAAACTCTCCCACCGACGCAGCACCACAGTTTCTCTAGAAACTTAACCCCTCTTATCGATTCAGACAGACTCCGCCGACCTTTTTTTATATATAATTTGCAGTTCCACCAAGTTTTACAACAACACCAAGCGATCTTACTGTGCAAGAAGATAATGAAGCAAGATTCCATTGCTCAGCTACTGGGAACCCACCTCTTACGATAACATGGATGAAAGATGGGAAGACTGTGGTTCAAGGAGATGAACTGAGGTTTACTGCTAAACGAAATCAGTCTGGGGAATATCTATGTTCAGCAGATAATGGACTGGGTGTGAATATCACTGCTAGTGCCTCTCTCGATGTACAATGTAAGTTTACGTGACACTTCATTTTGGAAATTTGCCCAAAAGAGCAAACAAATCAGTGAGGCAAACTACGCTTTACGCTAAGAATTGCGATGAAATGTGACGCCAAACGGCGACAAGAATCTGTATTTGGTATTTGATATTGTCTTGGATATAAAGACAACTTGTCTTAACTGGGGTCTTTGTAAATGCGTGGAATTAAGTAAGGAAATAGGAAACTCATTCTATGTTTGAGTTCTTTTGATTCTTTTTGTCGCGTTAACTTTTCATCCCAACCATTACTTTACGATTTTCATTAATCAATTATTAAAGATTTTTGATTTGAGTGCCACACGGCAAAACACCTAATCCAAAAGCTAGAGAGAGGAGCCCCCAGAGACCTGAATCCTAAATTTTAAAGCCAGGATATTGTTAGCATTGAAAGTATTTTGGGAAGATGTGATTGTGTATTTCGTTCCTTCTTTATTTCTCATTTAGTTGCACCAAGTTTGATCTCAACACCAGCTGACCAGACAGTTATCGAAGGAACCAAAACATCATTTTTCTGTAATGCCTCTGGAAACCCATCTCCAAAGATAACTTGGTCGAAAGATGGGGAGATTCTGACTGAAGGAGAAACTCTGAGCTTTGAAGCGAACAGGAATCAATCTGGAGAGTACTGGTGTTCAGCAGAGAATGGATTACGTGTAGTTGTCAATGCCAGTGCCCATCTCGTTGTTCAATGTAAGTAATTTTTTTAAAACTAAACTAGTGAGCAGCACTCTGCGAACAGTAGTTGTAAACCTTCTTCATTCCCCGACGCATTTCGTCAAACTGTCGTAGACTTGTTCAGGGAGTTTTACAAGCTAACAATAAACGCCTGTATTTATAAGCCATAGTTAGCGGCTATACAGAAGCCAATGACCATAAAGGCTTAGCCGAACATACGAACAGGAACAGGCGTGATTGTAAAAAAAAATTGAAAATTTTTTGGGCAATGTGAGAAAAATATTTGAGGGCCACGGTTTTACCTAAAGAAGCTTAGCACTAGTTTAGTTTAAAAAAAATTGTTTCAAAAATTGTATAAAAAATCAATTAAACATACAAAGCAGCTTTATAGGGTAAGAAATAGCGGAAGTTTGGTAAGGAAGGATTTGCTTTTTCCTTTAACAGCTGCCGAGGGTAACTTCCTCACATAGTTTCTCTTCTCAAGGTTTTGCTCGTCTCCATCGATCGGGAGCCTGGAAAAAGCTGTTGAATTGGATAAAAATTGGTTTCATTCACGATAGTTTTGTTTCGAGGGGGAATGGCCACAGTCTAAATTGGCTGCTGCTTTATCAGCACTTGTAACATTTCTGAGGGTTGTGATCTGGAGATCGACAGAAACAAACACGTTTAAACTCTCTCACTTTTTTATTTGTAATGATTGTTTCATTTCTTATATCTTACAGATGCGCTGAGTTTCACATCAATTCCTGGAGATCAGACTATCGAAGAAGGCGATGAAGCAACATTCAAATGTAGCGCTACCGGGAACCCAGCTCCAGAAATTACATGGATCAAGGATGGGAAGACTGTGGGCTTGGGAGAAACCTTGCAGCTTACATCAGTTGACAGGAACCAATCAGGAGAATACGTGTGTTCAGTTGATAATGTATTGGGTTTTAATATCGATACCAGCGCCAAACTTGATGTGCAATGTAAGTTGAGAAATTACGCAATACTGTGAAAATGTAACGCATACTGTAGCCTTGGAGTTAAGTGCTTTGCTCTTCCGATATATCGCCCATATAATATTGCACATGAAAGAAACGCGTTACGACGACAATTTAACGAGATGCCGGGGATCTCTAGTAGAATTTCACTGGTCTATCTTAGCAGGGCAATATCTGTACCATGGTACTTCGACATATTATTCCGGATATAGCAAACTAGAAAAAATATCGAGGCAGGTTTATCCTTTAGTAAATGATACATATCTTCGATATCCCTTTAAAAAGACTGCGAGATACCTTTTAAGACTTCCTAACTTGGCATGAAAGGTTTTGCAAGAAAGTGCTATTGAGGTCTCCGTGCCGTGGTACTTTAAGACTAAGTGTAGTCAAACAGAAGTTACTTAGATTATCAGGTCTTCTTGATGTTGAGCTGTGTTGCTTGGAATCATGATGATTGTTCTTACATGGTTTATGATATCCACAAGTTTATAACAACTTATTTGTCTGGTTGCAGTTTCACCAAGTGTAGTCGAAGCACCAACGAACAAGACCATCTTCGAAGGTGAAACAGCAACGTTCCATTGCAAGGCCACCGGGAACCCAGCCCCAGAGATAACATGGACGAAAAATGGGAAGACTGTGGGATCAGGAGAAACGCTAAGCTTCGAAACGAGCAGGAATCAATCTGGAAAATACTTGTGTTCGGCTAACAATGGCATTGATAAATCTGCCAGTGCAAGTGCTTATCTTGATGTCCACTGTAAGTATGAGCAGCTAAAACTTGCTTTAACAGTGAAAATTAATGATTTCGTGCGGAAGGAAAATGGTGGAGGAGGACAACTGAAAACGCTCTCTCATCACCTCAGTTGATTCACATGCCACCTGTGAATTTAAAGAAAACTTTTAATGGAGGATGTTTTGTTCCGCGAAGTCTTAAGCTTTTCTTTTTTTCAATTTTTGTTGACTTCGTATTTTTCTATGACCATTTCGATCGATCACCATTTTGGCCTTACGCACATACGCACATACGCAAACGTATAACAGCTTTTGTGATGTACACAGGAGCTTTTCACTTATAGGAGTAGAACATGCTAAAATGCTTTCGATTGGTTTTTCCATGTCACGCGTAATGATTCCTTTTAGATCCTCTGAGCCTCACTACTACACCAAGCGACCAAACTGTCAGGGAAGGTGAAACAGCAGAATTTCATTGTAGTGCCACTGGAAACCCACCTCCAAAGGTGATATGGATGAAAGATGGGAAGGTTGTGGGTCAGGGGGACAAATTAAGCTTTGAATCAAGCAAGAATCGATCTGGAAAGTACTGGTGTATGGCGAGAAACGAACTTGGTTTGACTATCAACGCTAGTGCTTTGCTCGATGTTCAGTGTAAGTTTTGGAAAATCAAGTTGAATCTGACTAGACTGTATGTGGTTATAAGAGAGGGGTTAAGGGCTGATACAGAGTCTTAGTGCTTGACAATTATGGCAAGTTTTAGGGCAAACTTTTGAAATAGGAAAAAAATGGAAAGTTATGATAAACTATGAATTATGAAAGATTGGAAGCAAGTATGGTTTTTCTTATTTTTCGAACTGCTTTATTTATATAAGGGTCAGCCACATTTCACTTGCATTGCCTTGGCGAAGCATAACATACCATTGACAGTAAGTCGTGGAAGAGTTTTCGGATCAAATGGGGACTAAGCCAGAACACGTTTCTTGAAAATTGAGTCTTACATGGCCATCAAACTGCTTTTTCGAGTAACACATTGACAGACCCAAAGGCGGAAATACGCTTCCGGAGTTGAGCACAGTACATTGCTGCACAACTGGAAAGAAAGGATAAAAAGAATAATGATGCAATCTTTTCTATTTTATTTTAAAGTTTCACCAGTTATTGACACAGAGCCTGTCAGCAAGACTGTCACTGAGGGTACCATGGTCAAGTTCTTTTGTAATGCCACAGGAAATCCACTTCCGGAGATTACATGGATAAGGAATGGGGAGACTGTTGCTCAAGGAGAAACAATAAGCTTTGAAACAAACAGGAATCAATCTGGAGAATATCGGTGTTTAGTCGAGAATGGGATGAGTCCGAATGCCAGTGCTAGTGCAAATCTTGATGTGCAGTGTAAGTGGCGTTTATGCATCGGCAAACGGACTGCTGTCCACTTGTTTCATGAATATACCAATAGTAGCTTACCCTGAAGGGCTACCGAAGGAGTAAATACAAAACCATCCACATGATAAGAAAGTGCATAATTAAAAAAATGCCTACAAAAAGTGTATGGCAACGTGAGATATTGACCATTGATAAAATTCAATTTTCGTGTAAAATTTCACCGAATCAGATCTAATCTAATCTAACTAATCACAAGTAAAAATATAACTAGTCGCGTCTTGATCACGTGCGTTTTTCTCTGCTTGAGCTCGGCTGCATTTGATAACTCTGGCTTTTTCGTGGTTTCCTGTGGTTTCTGTCTTACTTCTGATTTGCCGTCATATTTATCCCTGGGCTTTAGTTTTACAACAGTCAAACGAAAATCACACTAACTTTTTTCATTTCTTGTAGTTCCGCCAGAATTTACCCGCAAGCCAGCTGACCAAACTGTTACTGAAGGCAACAAAGTCACTTTTCACTGCGCTGCAAACGGTAACCCTGCACCTGAAATAAAGTGGGTCAAAGGTGAAACGACTTTGGCGTTGGGAGGTACACTGACGTTTGAGGCAAGTAGGAATCACTCAGGAACGTATTTGTGTGTGGCTGAGAATGGTTTGGACGAGGAAGTCAAAACAAGTGCTAATCTTGATGTGTTGTGTGAGTATCTAAAGATATTGCAATTATCTGAATGAAAGTAGGATTGACGGCCATTAAAGCTACCGTATAGTTGGAGGAATTTCTTTCACTGATACTTTTACTTCGCAAAAAAGAAAACGCTCTTTAAATGCAGTTCTGGACTGCATTTCAGAATTATGTATGTCGGTTTTAAATACTTTTTTCTTTTTACCATGAAACCTGCGATAATCATAAATGAAGTTTCTTACATCCTGACTAATTTTCACATAAATCTCTTTCGCAAAATATATCATTTTGTAAAAGTTAATTTGGGAAAGAACCTTGTCGACTAAATAGGGCCAAAGCCATATCAACTTAGTTGAAGACTACTTTTTCTAAGGATATCAGAGGCTATGTTAGTGGATATGGCATGATAATTTTTAGGCAACAGTATTCATATAAGTAAAGGGGGTAAGGTTCTAAAGAACTGTGGTGCTGCGTGGGTGGGAGAGTATAATGGGTAATTTAGTGTTAACAACTGAGTTGAAACGTAAATTAGCCACCGTAAGTAAAGGCTGACGTTTCGAGCGTTAGCCCTTCGTCAGAGCGATTGGAATCGCTAAATTGCCTGGTATTCATGTAAAGTCGATTATTGTAAATTGGTAAACCCATGGGGAGAAGTGATTAGTTAAATAGCTTAATCATTGTTCTGAATTTCTACGTGTTTCTCTTTCATAGTTCCACCAACTGTTACCACAAAGCCTATCAACAAGACTGTCACTGAGGGTACCAAGGCAACGTTCTATTGTAATGCTACAGGAAACCCAATCCCGAAGATTACATGGATGAGGGATGGGGTAGCTGTTGCTCAAGGAGACATAATGAGCTTTGAAACAAACAGGAATCAATCCGGGGAATATTGGTGTTTAGCAGAGAATGGACTGAGTCCTAATGCAACTGCTAGTGCAAATCTTGATGTGCAATGTGAGTACACTTTATAAAGTGTTAAACCTAATGCTCCCCTTCTGTTTAACGACGATGTCAATAAAACCCTTCCCAAAATGGCGACCGAAATGACAAATTTCCTCTGTGGAAAAAATGCGGTAGTAATCCTCATGAAAAGAAAGTACACAATTCCAGCTGTACAAATTGAAAATGGGATGTCACGGCAACACTTTTTTGCGAATATTTTACGATTTGAAATTGTGTATCTTTACTGACATTCAGTTGACTGGGGGTTTGGCGCAAGCTACACACATTTATTTTGACTAGCTTCCTTGTGCTAAGTGTTCAGTGTAGAAATTTGGTCATGGCACTAACTATCTATCCAAAAATCGTTTTATTCCTGTAGTACTGAGTTTGTATTCCTCTATTATATATCCTGAGTTATACAGCGTGCGAGCGAAAGGCGCACTGACAACATTATTCCCAACAGTTCCACCAGAATTTACAACCAAGCCAGCAGACAAAACTGTCACTGAAGGCAACAGTGTGCGTTTCCACTGCGCCACAAATGGTAATCCATCACCGAATATAAAGTGGGTTAAAGGTGAAAACACTGTGGGTTTTGGAGATAGTCTAACGTTTGAAGCAAGTAGGAATCATTCAGGACGTTACATGTGTTTGGCGGATAATGGTTTGGATATGGAAATCAAAGCAACTGCTAACCTTGATGTGTTATGTGAGTATAAATCATATGGCAGTTAATTGCATAGAAGTGCGGCGAACATTTATCAAAAACTTGATATTTTTTCCTATTGGAAAAGATGAAAAATGTGCGTTTGTAATAAGATTTTGAACTGCATTACAGGCATTTTGTAAGTTTTAAGCAAATATTTACGGTGAAAAAACTTCGATGAAGATTTCAGTCATTCAAAGAATAACGAGGACAGAAGTGATTGTAAGAATAACATCCACGTTTTTCTAACGTCATTTAGCAAGTAGAAAGGAGCGAAGATACAACTATCGATCACGTAGATGTCCGTGAAATAACAGACTTTCTCCTGTTTCTGAAATACAATATAATATCCTCTCTAACGTTGAAAGCACTAACAGGGCAGCGCACGTATCGTATAGTTGGTAAAAAACAATAAAATAACTTTTTGGCATAGCTCAGATGAATACGATGAATCAACAGAACATCCCAAACTAGATAAATTATCCTTACATGAAGGCTTCAGGTACGGAAAATTTTTATCCTTGCTCCTGCCTCTGTGCCCACAGATTTGTTGAAAAGTTTCATGTTTTTCGTAACTTTTCGCGTGATTCCGTTCGTTTTATATTATTTCAATGAAATTTTACGCGGTCGTTCGGCAAATATTGATCATTCTGCGCATGCCCGACGTTGACCGCTGTGTAATTTTCTTTCTCGTTGTTCTTAACCAGATGGACCAAGTCTGACGACAAGACCAACGGATCAGACCGTTGTTGAGGGTGCTACAGTCACGTTCAGCTGTTATTCCATTGGTAATCCTGTGCCAGATATTGTATGGATAAAAGATGGAAAGACTGTGGCGGTGGGAAACATACTGAGCTTTGAAACGTCAAGAAATCAGTCGGGAAAATATTGGTGCTCGGCCAAGAATGATCTTAAGACTGTGAACGCAAGTGTCAATCTTGATGTACAATGTAAGTGTGACTTTACTTTTGTTATCAACCGCTAGGTGAGTGATTTGATGAAGCAAGCTGCTAAAGTGGGTTTATCGCTGGGATCAAATGTACAAGTTGAACCCAGCTTGAATTTGTTCGTCTTTTTATGGCATCCGCTTCTGTTGCATATATACGAATTGTGAATTTGCCTGTCTCACATGGCAAACTGTCGCTGCGATTTGTACCCCAGACGAGTCGCGGCCAGTTTTCGCGTAATGCTTGTATGCCCTAAAATGAGGGTACGACCTTTTTTGCTTTTAATCGTAATTATTTTTCGGGCTTCACTTACGCACAGCTTCCCTTTTAGTACTGGGACGAAAATAAATTCTAAGCGAGAAAGATCCGAGTGACGAGTTCCGTGTGAGCCGGGCGTGAACTGATTCGAGAACGGGGCCCAGTCCACTCTCTGCTTACTTCTTTTGCGCTTACCAATTTTTTTTTTTTCTTTTTCGTCCTAGGGAACTTTTTCATAGGCTAAGTAGATTCAATGATTACAAAAAAGCTTCGGTTAAGATTATATTTAACTGTCGAAGACCGCAGGGACAAAACGATGTATATATATTTTGCAGTTCCCCCCAGTTTTACCTCAAAACCAGTCGACCAAACTGTTAAGGAGGGAGATGAAACCACTCTCCGTTGCACTGCCACGGGAAACCCCACACCAAATATAACGTGGATTAAAGATGGGATGGCTGTGGCTTTTGGAGAGACATTCAAATTTTCAGCGAACAGAACTAAGTCTGGAACATATTGGTGTTCTGTGGAGAATGGACTGAATGTCGCTGTCAATACAAGTGCCTCGCTTGATGTCCAATGTATGTATCTTTCGCGGAATGAATTTTTTTATAACCCTTTACACCCTTGCATCTGTATGCATATTCTCCATACTGTTCTCTATACATTTCTCAAGGTGCTGACAAGGAGAATTTGTTTAACAATCAAGAGCTTCTTTAGTTGGTGATCGTGTCTTTAATTCTTGTGACCCTAATGCTTGATTCAGGAGTGATATTTTATGGAAAAATTGGATGCTAGTCACTCGTAGCGGTCTGTACAGAGAAGCTTAAATTACAGTTTCCAAGGCTGAAAAAGAAAAAAAAACATTTCATTTGAGCGTTAGGAGTAATCCACAACCAATCACGACTTAGTCAGTTGTGTTTTCCCGCAATAGACGCGGCATTCAACTCTTTACTATTAGCGTTCATTTTCTTCTTGTGATATTTACCGTATATTCTGATTGGTTGTTGTCACTGCTTTAGCTTTGAGTTTACGACAGTCGATCGAAAAGCTCCCAAAAAGAAACGTTGTTAGAATGAAACGATTATTATTGAGTTCTTATAGCCAAAGTGAGACATTCGAGCCTAATTTTCCAAAATTCTTAAAGCGTGGCTTAGCCTATTTGAAGAAATATATTTTGACCGAGCCTTGAATCAGAACCAAAGCGAAAATCCTTCTTGTAGCTTCTGTATTGCTAACTAAGCAAAAAAGTATAAGAGCTTGGAGTCCGACAATATTTACAATATGCTGGTCATACATTGATCTGAAAGAATCGTATTGAGGATAACTATCTTTTTTTCCTTTTTGTGGCTTACCTTTTTTTTCTAGTTCCACCAAGTTGTGTGGTAACTCCAAAGTCCCACTCTGTCATCGAGGGCCACGACGCGTCATTCCTTTGCAGTGCCACGGGGAACCCAACTCCAGATCTCACATGGTATAAAGATGGAATGGTTGTGGCTTCAGGAGACACTCTGACATTTACAGCCAACAGGAATCAATCTGGACAGTACTGGTGTTCAGCGGAAAACATTTTTAACGAGACTGTTAGAGCTAGTGGAAATCTCGAAGTACACTGTAAGACCTGGTGACTTTTTATTTGCGCGTGCGCTTGTTTGCTAGTTTTGTTGCGACAAAACTAGTAGTTATATCGAGCATACTTACATTTACCATCTTTAGACAACAAATTAAGATCTTTCCCTGATTGTACGGTAGAAGAGCGTTGTATCAATATATTTTTACAGACACAAAATATTCTCTATTTCATTAGGGGAAAATATTTCCTATGAAATCTCGAACAATCTTCCCTCAGTCCTGAGTATGTCTCTCCCTAATTTTCTACCACTGTGTTAAAGATAATTCGATAATGGGCGAGGCCATTACGTTCCAGATATTTACCGGGAAGTCGGTCGGTATGGGAAAAAGTATGGCCGAGGTCTTGAGTACCGCCCGCGGCTGAAGAACGAAGGCTGTACTCGAGACCAAGGCCACAGTTTTTATCTGAGACGGACCGACTGCCTACTAAATACCTTGCACGCAATGGCCTTGCACACTATCAAATTTTCTTTAACACTGTGGTAGAACAGTAGAGAGAGACACACAATTGGTTTATATTTTCTGCTTTGCCTTGAATGACGCTGAAAAAAATCCGAACGGTTGTCCGTATTGTAAAAATCTGGACTAATTATAAGCGGGTGATTAGCCAATCAAATACAAGGATTAAAGATTCTGGGATACTGAGATGCTTCAGAAAATTATAGTTTGGTGTGTGACAAGCGTCCTTCAAATCTTGTGCTCGCTTTATTCCAGTTAAACCAGAAAAGACCCGTCTAACAGTGACTCCAGACGTCTCCGATCGTGTCAAATTTGGCAGCTCTGTGAAGTTCACCTGTACCGCGGAATCACGTCCAACTGTGGAAGTGTATAATTTTTACCGCGACCAATTGTTGCTTGGAAGCAACATTAGTGGTATTTATGAAGTTCAGCTACAAAGAAGCGGTCGGTATTCCTGTGTGCCCGTCAACCGCGCAGGAAATGGAACAGAATCCTCGATAAACATTGCCGTGGATGGTAAGATGTGTGATAAACTGTTTTTCAAAAATATATATATATTTTCCTAAAGACCTCTGCCATCAAATTGGCAGGCCTAAGTAAATAGAAATCGTTACGCAACCCGCCCAGTCTTTTACGTGGTGTTTTTCATTATGATTTTCGAAAGAATTACGTGAACGGGTTCTTACGGGTCACACACCCCCAAAAAATGAATTATTTCTTTTTACACTTTCAGTTCAGAAGCCATATTTCCCTGAGCTGGTCCCTCCGGTTTACCTGTTTAAGGACAGCCAGGCTCGGTTACCTTGCAAGCCTGCGGGGGAACCGCAGCCAACAGTGAAGTGGTTTAAGGATGGTGTAGCAATTAGTTACGGACAGAACGCAAGCTACAGACTTCAAGCAAACGGTACCTTGATTATAGACAAAGTGGAAAATGGTAACGCTGGGAAGTACACCTGTATGGCTGAAAACTTCTTGGGGAAAGCAAATATAACAGCTCGAGGAATTTTGCTTGGTAAGGCAAAGCAGGCAACTTATATTAAAGAGTGTGATGATCTTTCCTCCATTGATTTCTTGATTTCTGCAGTTTAACACTATGGTTGTAATTCGTTCTGCTAAGTGTACGCATCCTTGAAGTGTGTATGTCGAACTCACCTTGTGCACAGCCGTCTGTTATTTTTACAACCATTTTTATATGTTGTGTTCTAGCTGCGACGATCCTTGTTTTTAAAACAGGTGTTTATCAACCGGCTCATAGATGTATTAATTTTTTTTTTCGTGCTTTGTGACAGAGAGGACGAAGATCTTTATGAGACCTCCACAAAGCCAGACAGTCAGTCAGGGTACAAACGTGGAATTAAAATGCAGCGCGACTGCGGATCCTTCTTTGGAGTTGAGATATATTTGGAAAAAAGACGGCATTGAAGTCGTTACTAGCTCAAAGCCGGAAAATGTGTTGAGGATCTCAAACATCTCTGTTGACGAGGCTGGTATTTACACATGTGTAGCATTCACACCAGAACCCAAGAGATCAGAAGACAGCGTCTCCGCCATTGTTTCCATCATAGGTACTTTTCATGATTGGATTTATTGTATTTATTGGTTTAGAAAACGCGGTGGATTGGATCCCAGATTGCAAAGTTTCGGATCCAGGCCTAGCAGGGTCATTTGTGTCGCGTTCTTGGGAAGGAAACTTTTCCATCACAGAGACTCTCTCTCTCCCCCCGCCCATGTGGATAGGAATGCGTATTGACAAACTGTAAGGGAAATCTTACGAATCTGTAAGTGGGGGGGAGGGGGGGTGGGTGGATAAATGTTAGCAAAATGTTTTGCGCTGTCCACCGGATATAGATGTATTTAGTGGATAGCGTTATCCACACTTCGAACAACCGGAGCCAGGTGTATAAAAAAGGTATATGTCAGCAAATATTCAAGGGAAATATGGCAGGATTAGTACAAAAAATAATTTTCATTTCAGATATTCTTGCTTTGTTTGAGTTACCATTCTTTCCCAGTCTTTTCTGTCTTCATCTTAATAGCAGAGTTTTCCCAAATACAGCGGCAAATCGGAAATCTCGTTCTTTCTCCTTTTTTTTTTTTTATAAGCCCGTGAGAAAAAAGGCGATTGATTGTACAGCAAAGTTAGATCCTGCCGCCAAAACACGATGTTTAGATTGAAGGTAGTTGACGGTTGGATAATTATTAGTTGATACGCTCTATTTACTTTTTAATTTATCATATAATTATTTGTTTTTCCTCACAGGTGTTCCACCTCCTCCGGAAAATCTTCAGATAACTGATTGCTATGACAGGGCACCCATTCTATCATGGACTCCTGTGGCCTCAAACAACGCCCCTATCACTCAATATCTGATTTATCAAGAATCGAATCACAACCCAACCGTCTTCAAACTTCATAATGTCACTGACCCTAACGTTACATCTTTTCAATTAAGCCTCCCTGGCTGGACCAGTCTACGTTTCCGTGTAAGGGCAGTCAACGACTTTGGAGCAGGCCGCCCCAGTCTGTCAACTGCGAAAGGGGCTTGTGAAACACCCTCCGTAGGTATGTTTTCAGTGAACGTAAGGTTGGTTTTCACTATCGTTGGAGTCATATTAGGTTTCGTTAATTACCTGAAGCGCAGAGCGGTAAGATTTAGTGGAAATGCAAGCGTTGGAATAGTAAGCAGAGTATCGATGCTGCTGACAGCTTTGTCGCTTATGAGAAACGGCTTATGTCGCTCGAGAAACGGCCTGTATGCACTGCCTTGACCATCTCACCACAGCTTAAATACTTTAGTGCTAAATCTCCTGCCCTTGTAAAGATCATTTCAGATTTCCAACTGTTTTCCAGAATTCCCAATCTTAAAGCCGGCCATGGTAAGAGCTGGGACAAACGATTAGGTACCCTGCCTGTTCTGTCTTGGCATCCCAAAAAAGAACAACCGTCATTTGTGCTTTTTCACGAGACAGTTCTAATTTCAGAACCTTTGTTACTTTGTATTGCTTTTCATATTAAGGGTTGATTATAACAACTTGTTGAAATTTATTTATTCTGAATTAATAGCACCAGAGAATCCCCCAAATAATTTAAGAGGAGTACCTGGAAATGCAAATGAGCTGGTCATTTATTGGGACGTAAGTATAATAATTCGACAAGATGTTCCTATTAATGTTGCATGGCATGTTGTAGGTGTGTTTTCGATGTTTTTTAGTCAGTCATTCAGTCAGTCAGTCATCTATCAGGCATTCAGTCAGTCATTCATTCAGTCAGTCATTCATTCAGTCAGTCATTCATTCAGTCAGTCATTCATTCAGTCAGTCATTCATTCAGTCAGTCAGTCATTCAGTTAGTCAGTTAGTCAGTCAATCAGTTAGTCAGTCAACAACTTAGTCAGTCAGTAAGTCATTGTCATTTAGTCAGTAAGTCAGTCAGTCAGTTAGTCAATCAATCGGTCAGTCAGTCAGTTAGTCCATCAGTCCGTCAATCAGTCAGTCAGTCAGTTAGCTAATCAGTCAGTCAGTCAGTCAGATGGTTGATGTCCAAGTCTGCTAGTCACTCAGTCAGTTGATCAGTCTGTCAAGCAGTCAGTTTGGTCAGCAGTCTCTCACTCAGCAGGTCAATCTCAATACACATGTATCTTACTGCCGTTTCTTACCATCAGCCTATGCCAAAAGACAAATGGAACGCCCAGGGTTTTTATTACGTCATACAATACAGAAGAGTGAATGGACGGATTTCTGAATGGAGAGATGAGAAAATCGCCGACCCTGGAGTAAACATGTTTGATTTGTCTAATCCTGGTTACTATCAACTATGGGAATTCACAATACGCGCGGGTAATAACGAGGGATCTGGACCTGCCAGCTCTGTGAAAAGGGCGCACTCCGGTCAAAATGCCCCAGTTGTAAAACCAGAAAGTTCTGAAGTGGGAACGGTGTCTGACGATTCAGTGACTTTGAGCTGGGAACCTGTCACCGTAAAAAGAGGCAGTATCGACGGATACAGGGTAAGTGATGGTGTAAAGAAGTATATTCCAGTAGAGCATATACATTTGACTCTTTAGAGTGACCAGCATCTAATTTCTCCTTACAATAACACCTCTGAATCAAACAATAAGGTCATGAGAATGTTGAAAATGATCACAAACAAAAGAAATTCTTTCCGGTTTAACAAATTCATCGTGTCAGTCCCGCAGGAAATATATAGAGAGCAGTGTGGATAATATTTATACCTATGTTGGGGTGTAAAGGGTTAACAGTTAACTCTTCCGTATTAGCGAGAGTCCTTAATAGCTGGTTGCAACAGGTGATAAGTCCAACTTTGGAATTGAATTCGCCCCTCATTGGAACCACCCACGTAAAGCACTTTTAATTCGTAGGGTCGACCAAAAATTAGATTTGCCAAACTTAATCAATTCCTAATTGAGTTGGCCGATATGTTCGAGTACATATAAAGTTCGACAAGTAAAACTGGGTCTAATAATGTTCCATTATCTAATATTTTAGATTTATTACTGGGGTGAACCTCTCTCAGTCATCTCAAGGAGAAAAAGACGAGCCGTTCCTAGTACAGCCGAAAAATTCGAGGTCATAGGGGGCAGCAACACACAGGCTACAATTACTGGACTTAAACCATTCTCAGCTTATAGTGCTGCTGTAAAGGCTTTTAACTCTGGCGGTGAAGGACCAGAAAGTCCCATAATTAACTTTGAAACTTCGGAGAGTGGTAAGAGAATGCTGACTTCCGGAGAATTTGTCGGTTTAGCATTGAAAGTGATCCGTTGTTGCTTTGGTTTTGCTTTTGCTTTTGCTTTTGCTTCGCTGTGTGAATGGTGCTGTTGTACTATTTTACTACAATTACCTCGAGCGAATTGCTCGCGATACTTCAACACAAATTCTCCAAATTGTCGCAGCGAGATCTTCATTTGTCTATGGAGGAGAAAGAAATGATATCTCATTTTCTCTAGTTATTACTGGAGTAATAAGTGAGGAAAACATTTTTCGTTTCATGCTCGTGACTAATGGCGAAAAAGTACGTTCATTAAAGCAAGCTCCATAAGCGTAAACGGCGAAGCAGATCCTGTGTTCTTTCGAGTACCTTTAGTAAGATTTTGCGATGTCTGTTTCGTTCTCTTCTCTCTCGGCCCATGGAAAAGTGAAAAGTAAATTTAGGCCATGTACGGCTAATTTGATCCCCGGCTTGTCGAAATAGTCTTGAGAGTGATGTGTTCTACTCATGTAATTTATGCTAATGTTATTCTAATTATTTCTGTCTACCCTTGTAATTTATGCTAATGTTATTCTAATTATTTCTGTCTACTCAGGTAATTTATGCTAATGTTATTCTAATTCTTTCTGTCAATGTCAGAACCTGGTCCGCCATCAGACGTATTCATTGATGCATTCGGTGAAGTCCTCCTGATCAGGTGGACACCGCCTCAGGAGCCAAATGGAATTATCAGCGGCTACCGTGTGGGGTGGGCTGAGTACGACGTCTCCTCGCCTGAAAGTGTTGTTCTTTCTATGGAAGAAGTAGAAGTTACTGTGCGCACAATATTGTTGAAAAACAAAAAATCTGAAACGAGCTATGTAGTGGAGGTGCAAGCCAAAACTAGTAAAGGATGGGGCCGCGGTTTAAGGAGGAATACAACAACTGTAAAGAAATCAGGTGGGAAAACTTAGCAGTGATGAATCTGAGTAATTTAGTATTATCAACTGAGTTATTAACGTAAATTGGCCATCGTAAAGAGTTTCAAAGCTGACGTTTCGAGCGCTAGCCCTGATTCGCTCTGACGAAAGGCTAACGCTCGAAACGTCAGCTTTGAAACTCTTCACAATGGCCAATTTACGTTATCAACTCAGTTGATAATACTAAATTGCCCAGTTATAATCTTCCACCGACGCAGCAACATAGTTTCTTCAGAAACTTACCCTCTTTATTATTGATGAACTCGACTTGAAACGAAGGATGAAGTTTTGTGGCATCTCACCATAACTTTCCGACACTGAAGTTCAAAACCTGACTGTCGTGTTTTATCTGTGTGGCCAAAAATTCATTATTAGATATATACCTCCAAGACTCAAAAGGACATAAAAGAATTTATTGCAATAATAATTTCATGCTCAAGATCGATGTGTGTAACTCGTTAGTCTTCTTTCTGTTCATTCTTTGTTTATTTGTTGATTGTTTGGTTGGTTTGTTTGGTTGATTCGTTTCCCATAAGCCAAGAAAATACCTATCAAAACCGACTAGTCACAGCCAATAGGCCATTTTACTGTTGTGTACTTAGTTGCCAAGCCTTTGATTTGGAGTGAGGCTGAAGGTGACCTGGTTGTGATAGAGACCAGTATCTAGTTGGCATGATAACAAAGTAATTTGCGTTTGAAAAGTAGGAAGGTTTGTATCATAACCAGGTCAACCTTAGCCTCACTCCTGTTCAAAGGCTTGACAACCAAGCATGCAACCGTACAAAGGACTATTGGGTATTGCAGCTAATACAACAAAGGCAAAACCGCTCTATCGTTTTTAATTCGATTGACAAACAACTCCTCAGATTGACTAAAGATGGCTTTCGCTAAGGTTTTCGAACGCCACCAACTGTCGCCGGAACTAGTTCTTTTTTTTTAAAACTTCCCTTACCTGGGAGATCAAACTAAATGATTTACTTAACTTTGCCTCCTTACGTTTTCAGCTCCTGCCAAACCGCTAAAGCCCACCGTTAAGCAGATACCAGGCAAAAACGCGTTTAATGTCACCTACAACTTTGCTGTCGGAGGAGGCTGGACACTCGAGTTCAAAGTTTTGTACAGAAAAGAAGGTAAACGAAATGCTTTTTTTGATATAATCGTATTGCTTTATACCTTCTTCCCTCTCAGCTGAAAATCATTGGGCTGTGATCAGCCAGCTCTAAATTTTTAAACTCTCCACAATCTTTTTCTTACTACTTCCATAACCCTTTAACTCCTAAGATCTCATTAGTAATTCTCCTTACTGTCTGCCATACAATTCTTAGGATGTCAATTTGGAGAATTTGATATTGGATCAACTAATAATCCCTCATTGATATTTTTCTTTATTCTCATCACTTCTATGCTTGATATTGTGTTGAGATTGTAAGGAGAAATTCCCTTTCAGTCTCTCTTAAGAGGTAAAGGGTTGAAACTCTTTTTAAGTAGTTGTTCATATTGTCCTTATTCGGGGGTTGGAAAAAATCCAGTAAGAAGCTTTTACTATACTATGGTTTTTTTGGAGTGAAAAAACACACCTCGAAGGTGGAAGAATATTTTCCTAGATAGTTTCCCAGTTCCCCTTTCCTAAAATGTAGAACTAAAAATATGTCCGAAAACTGATTTCGTCTCGGAGGCGTCTGAAGGTCTGATAACTGTCTTTTTTTTTTAGCAGCAGAAGGGGAGACATATCAGGTGACAGCTTGGGTAGATCATTCCGAAAGGAGATGGACTGAGATCGAGGATCTGAAACCAGACAAGTATGAATTCAAGACTGTGGCTAGAAACAAAGTTGGGATGAGTGCAGAAAGCGACCTCACGTTTGCGGACCTGGAGAACGCAGAGACAGAAGTCGTTGGTGAGAATTCATGTTATGATTTCATTGTTGGGCGTATCCCTCTTTCTCTCTCTCTCTCTTTCTCTCTTAAGATCTTCCCAGTGATTCTCCTTACTATCTACCATATATTTCTCATAATGTTATTTGTGAGAATTTGGTCCAAAGTCAAACAGTTTTCCTTAGTTGATATTTTTCTTTCATCTAATCAATTGTCCTCCCGTCAGTGTGGTGATATTGCGAGAAGAATTCACTTGTTAATCCCCCTTGGGAGTGAGTGAAGGGTTAAAGCCGCTCTCAATACTCTCCTTTGAGTTCTTGTTGGACACACGTGAAGTCGGTTTGTTTGAAGGGGGAGTGAAAAAAATGGAAAATTGTGTTAATCTCTCACCAAACCTCAATCGACTGTGATGATGATTACAGCTAAGGGTTTCCAAACGTCAGTCACCACTTCTGACAACAGTCCCTCACAGGGCTTCCCTCACCAGTACGATCAGAGTACACAATCAAATGTTACTCCCGTGTTTAACCCATTAAACGTTTAACCTCTCTCTCAATTGCAGCTGAGCAGAAAAGTCCATCCACCTATAATTCCGATTGGTTCATCACAGTCGTTATCATCGGAGCTATTGTTGTTCTTCTTATTGTAATTGTCGTTGTGGTCAAACAATGCCGGAAGAGGCGTAGCGAAAATTTACATGGTAAGGTCTTCTTATAAGAAACCCTAACCTTGTCCTACAAAATTCATAAGGGCTTAACATGAGAACTAATGTTCCAATTGTTGTCACTTTCATAATTTCAAGGAAAGTCTTTACCCAATGATTTTTTTGATTTGGGATTCTGGAAAGGATAACCGAATGCAGTTATTTGACCTTCACAGTAGAATTAGGATAACTTTTTGCGCCAGTAATGTGTTAAAGACCTTTTACACTCAGTTAAGAATTTCAGCCTAGAACATTTCTCATTTTTTGTTACAATTAAGCTGATTGGTGTCGAATGATTACGGCGTTGTTGTTCAAAAGAAAAAAAAGTGATGGGACAAAAAATTGTTTTTGAGTGGCGATTTATCTAGCACTCATCTTCTATTTGAGGAAAATGTGTAAACAAAAAAGCAATTTAATTAATTAAAGAACAAAATGTCAAGAAATCCTAGTTGATGGAAGGCAATTGAATCAATTACTTACAAAGTTGAAGACTACTGGGAAAGGCAAATCCAATTGAGTGGTGCAATGGAGGAGTGTAGCGCCTTGAAATAATCTTTCACGCTGCCTCAACTTAGCAAACAGATTCCTTGTTATGCGTTGTTTAGTAATAGATCACGGATGACTTCAATATGCGATAAGTACAAACAAAATGCATACGAGGCGTAGATGTCTTTTTGTGGTCTATAACTGGGCAGTCCCAAGGTAACAGACTCTGTTGGTTAAAATAGTATAATGATGGCAATGGTGACGTCATCTTTCTGTCCTGCAATACCATGACTGAGATCGTAAGTGAAAACTAATCAAATCGCTTATCAAATAATCTAGAAATAAAGTAACAACGAAAGTATGCCAGAGATGATCCTCTACTGAGCGTGTTTTTGTTATTGACAGAGTCCGATAAAGAAAAGGAAGCCAGTCAAGAAAATCCAAAACCCATCGACTTTAAACCGCGCGAGGACTGGAGAACAAGACTTGAACGTGTGGACGAAGCTGACAGCGAAAGCCACGACAGCTTGGATGAATATGGCGGAGGAGGAGCATATTTTTCAGAAGATGGTTCCTTCGTGGGTGAATTTGACGCGAAGAAAAGCGATACTCCGCATGAACAAGTTCAAGATCCAGCTGTGTAACACTGAGAAGTCTTAGATTTCCCTCTACTGAGTCTTTTGAGTGTTAACATGCAGAATAATTTAAAAATTAAATTTGCAACCGTTTAGCACCGTTGCAAGTTGAAAGAGTTTAAACTGAGAGTTTGAAGTAATAGATATTTCGTTACTTTTGATTCACAATGCTATGCGAGGGGTGAAGAAAAACCACGCTAGTCTCTCAAACAGTTGGACTCAATAAAAAACTACTCACTGCTTTTGAGATTTTATTTTATTTTTTGACGATTATAGGTTTACAAACGAAACTTGAAAAAGTGTTTAGTCGTAGAACATCATGTTCCTTTGTAGAGAAAATCAAACCTGTTTGCACTCGAAGAGTCAGAAACTCTGTCAATTTTTCTTATCTTATGTTTTGGGAGTTCAAACTCTCCAACAGGCACTGCGGGCTCGGTTGTTTGTTTGAGAGGAAATTGTTTCAGAAAAAAGGTTTTCTTCCCATATTGTTAGACAATTATCACTAACTGCTTGTCTTAGTTTTAAAACTGATTTATTTCAAGTTTGGTAGCATTCCTCTGAGAAGAATGACACCATTATTGGGAAAGTGGTGTCGCCAGGATTGGTCGGTTTGATTTTTTCTTTCTTTCTATTTTCACTGCACGAAAGAAGTAGATTCGGCAGGCTCAAGTCAGCTTCAACTTTCGTGTTCGCGGGAACAAAGTGAGCACCCGCGAAGAAGTGTGAATTACTTTTCATCTCAGCCAATCAGGTGTAAGACTAAACTAAATGTTGTTTCGCTGGCGCTAATTTTCCCGCGCTTTATCTCTACTGCCTCTCGCTTTCCGATTGGTTCGACTTACTTTTTTTGCCATTTGTGATTGGCTAAAAACATGAACTAGTATAGCATTCAGTCTCCCAGTTGACAACTTGTAGGAAATTTTAACACACAGTGAAGGGACACAACTGTCCTATGTTTTGATACAGGAGTTAGTTATTTAATTTACTCGTGTTTTTTTTAAGGAAATTTAATGTAAGAAATTGTTACAGTAAATGGTTTACTTACGATTTTTAACAATTTTAGCATAGTCCTATTTTGCCAAGTCTTGAAGATTCCCTGTAAAATTTCTGTGGTAAAGAATGATTTAATACCACCAAGAGATATTGGATAGTGATAGATGCAGGCTGTAGTTTCTGCTGACAAGGTTCAGTGCTTCCAGAATTAAAATTGGCTGTCTGTTGTACACCGCTGCTTTCAGTTACGAAAGGTTTGCTAAAATCTAAGCGCTTAGAGTTAAGGATTTCTGCTTTCAAATATATATTAGCTAATGGCCGTAGGAGTTAGATTCTCAAATTTATTTGTTTGCCTTATATAATGAGCCGCTAAATTAGTCGTAAGTTTATCTGCTATTATTGCTTTATTTAAATTGATAAAAGAACATGTTACTTTGGTTAATTTTCCATGAATAAAAAATGCCATAACGCTTAGTTAATAAAGATGAATTCCAAAATATCCTGTCTTCCGTTTCAGTATTTCAGTTTAACTTCTAAAAGTGACAAATGTGTTAACTTCTCTTGATAATATCGATGCTTTGCCAAGCGATCGGGTAATGAGAAGAGACTAATTCATCATCAGCGGAAAGCTCAGGGTTTTAACTTGACATGACATCGAATACTCCTTGCTAATTTAAAAGACAATGTGTTACAACACGAAGGAAGAGTTGTAATCAGATCTGTGCTCCAAAAATACTGCAGAGCTTCAGATTGTAAAACTGATACACCAAAAGCTTCTCAGCAAAAGAAGGGCGAACAGGCTACAAGCTCAAACAACTTTATTTCTATAAAACAACAGTTCCCTATTTTTAAAAGAACATTTACATCCCTTATTAAATAACCAGAGTATGAACACCTTCAAGTAACAGCAACTTTTCGACAACGGGAGGATGGGGCGTTTTTTTATTTCAAAAACGTTTTTCCTTGACGGGAACGTTTTAAAGTCTGGGGGAGGAGGGGGTGAGGGTTGACTGGGACGGGAAATACATTCCCAGAATGCTGCTACTTTCCGGTGAAATCTGCTCGATGACATCGTAAAAACTCAAAAATAATAGAAGAACCGCAACTTAAAATTGAGGATCAGAAATAAACGACAATGTTAGGTTATTTATCTAACCACAAGATATGTAACTTTATCACAGTGGTCTAACGTACGCTGGTAGATGGCGGTGAAATGAAATGATACTTCTTTAATGTTATCTATTAACTCTGCTGGATACTACTAAGTTGAGTGAAACCAAGACACGCTCCAAAAGGAAATAAGAAATTCATGACGTGCAGGTTGATCAGTATAAAAACACTGTGATTTTCCATCATACATTGCTTCGTCGTGAATAAAAAGGAAGAAATCAAACTTTACAAGAAGGTACTTTTAATAGCAAAAGGTACGCATTGAATGAATAAAAAAAAAAATGAATATAAACCGCCACCCTACCAAGAAAAAAAATTGAAACGAAACCCCTCAAATGCGTCACCGAAACAAACAAAATTACAGTCCAAGATCAACCTAACTTCTTTACAACTGACTTAACAATGCACAGAGCATTCGACAGTACGACTAACTACGACTTTTGGCTTCAATTTACACTCTATCACTTTCAATAATTAGAATAAATATGCTGACTTTTGCCCGCTGCTTCTTAACGTGTGAAAACAAATTGAACAAAACTTTAACCTAGCTGGACTTCTCTTGGAAGAAACACCTCTTCCTGTTTTTCCTGCTATCAGACTGGCGACCGGCGATTCGCAATAAAGAACTAAAACAAATGCAGTCTAGATACGATGGACGGGCTAACGCAGCTTTTCCTTCGCGTCATTTCACGGTTGCCCGTTGTTCTTTGACACACCTTGAGCGCATCTTCGAAACTTAAAGCAAAATAAAATACGATTCGAATATTCATTTACCGTCCTCAAACGAGGTCGAATTTCTAACAGCTCTTATTAGAACACTTAATTACGGTAATAACATACAGCCTCTTTGGCAGTTATGTTCTGCTTACAAGCAAATGATAAGCATTCAGTTTGCGACGTACTGCCACGTATCACCACTAATTTCTTTTCTCAGAGAGCTTTCTGGAGTTAATTTGAAATTGTAACTAACGACACTGATTTTTTAACAATTCGTTTTAGAAACTCAAATTCATTGAAAACAACAAAATTGATAAGTTTAAAGTCGCCAAATATTCCGTTAATGGCTCTGACTGTTTTCACACCTGAGACGTTTAACCCTTAAACTCCCAAACATTAAATTCTCGTAACTTATTTAAAAGGAAATTTTTTGGAAGCTAAAGGAGAGAATTAACGATCAGAGTTTGGGAGTTAAAGGGTTACGTCATCTAAAACGTCTTTTACAAAAAAAAAAGGGTGCTAAGAATCGCCGTCGCATTAGTAGTTACCCTAAGACTGGTTGAATGTCTTCTATCAGAACAGCCATTTACGATTGGGGACGAGCCACAATTCGTCCTTTTAACTAAGCGTTTTCTTTAACTACTGAGTCAGCAGTCTTAAGCTTTCAAAGATCATGATCGACAAACTGTACCCAGCTTACTTTTTGGGATCACCAAACAACACTGGTACACTACAGAAATGTCCTCAAACGAATGTCGCAAATGCAGACTGGTCTTTCTCGTCCGCTGGTGGTTTTTTCTCGTCCCCATATTCCTCTATAAAGGACCCATCTTCGTTGAACTGTGGTCCCTCGCCGTAGTCGTCCAGGCTATCCCGGTCACTATCCCGTTTATCCAATGAGCCCTGACTCTGGTAGGGTGGGGGATTTTCATCCCTAAAAAAGACAAGATAAGTCATTCATTATTCAGCACAGATGTAAAAATTCCACTTCTTGGTAACCCATCTAAGCGAAATCAAATCGAAAACCCGCTGACCTACTGCTTACCGCTTTGGACTCGAGCTTTGGACCTTTAATCCTCAAGGTCCCTCTCTTTCCCTAAAAACTATGTGGATAACTGAGGGAAAACCGATCAAGTAAACCCTTTAATCTATTAGGAAAGACGACCACCGAACAGATAAGCGCATGCACTGTAGATGTGTTCGCGGTACAAACCAATATTAAGACCTACACACTTAAATTGCAAAAAATGAAGCTCTGTACAAAGCAGCTGACGATTCCAAAGAAAGAAACACGTCAAAATTTCGTTCCATTAAAGACGATTGCGCGCAAGATCTTCTTTGTCAGTGTTGCTCTCAAGTAATTGAAGTTCATTTTCTCAAATGCGTATGTGTACCTTAAAATAGAAAATGAGAACTTCTTTCCTGTAAGTCTTTCAAGGCAAAAATATATATTATTCCTGGCATGCGCTTACCCTTGGTGTTGGTAAGGACCTTCTTCTTCATCGAATGATTCCCGGTCGATGAGATGAGCGGCTCGTTTCTTCTCGCGTTTACCAACTTAAGAGAAATAAAACAAATTAAGGCTTTGCATGAGTATCTGGTGTTAAAGACACAATCAAGTTTGTTTTCATTGTTATCCATTTCAGCATCAACGAAAAAGGAGCTGAGTATTTTCACCTTCAATAGAACAAGATGTCAGACTCCCCTCACTTCAATTACCATTATTGTCTTACCTGGGTATTTTGATCCACGGCGACGGGTGTAAAGGACAAATATAAGCAGCACAATGAGGAGAATGGCGATAAGAACCAACAAGGCAATAAACCATGCGCTCTGGTGTATAGGAGTAGTTGATCTCTTGCCAGCTGTAGTGAGAAAGAAAGAAAGAAAACGTCAGACTCAAAGCACTCGGAACTGCCGGTTGTTTCCTTCTTCTTAGCCGGGGGGGGGGGGGGG